CATTTTTGACAAAAAACACCAGCCCATCATCATCCTGAGAGACTGAGAGAGAGGTCATGACGAAGAAGCCCCGCCCAGCTGCCCACAGGCCTCGACGCTCAGCCGCCACTAACGATAAGTAAAGAATGAAGATGATCCAAGAGTAGTGGGTATTAACTATTAATCGGTAAGCACTAAGCATAGGGATGATTGATTAGTTTGGCAAGTTTAACTTCTAACTTTCACTTCTTTAACAAGTTTAGTCATCATTTAATTTCATTAGTATTTGCATATTCCATAAAAGGTCATATTTATAGTCACAATTCTAATGTGGGAGATGAGGATTAAATTGATAAAAAAGATAAAATTGAAGATTAGAAATAATCAGATTAAATATCTAGGATTAAATTAGGTATTGTCTACATAGTGGAGAACTATTTCTAATATACGCTTTTGAACACAGAAGATAGTTATAAACTTTCCTAGTTTCCTTTACTTAATTGCAAAAAAAAAAAACTTTCCTTTACTTACCCAAAACCTACTGATAAACAAAACCCTAAAGGTTTTTTTTGGAATTCCCAAAAGCATACTTTGTAACCGCACAATAGAATATTTGTCAGTCTTATTTTCATGCAAAATTATATTTGGTCTGTCCCACTCAACTTTGTCAACTTCGTATTTGGTGTAAAATATTAAAAAAATAAAATTTTGTAGTTGAGATTTGTCTAGAAAAGGGAGAAATGAATAGAATCATAAAATTTATAGGATAAACGGAAAAGAAAATTTAGCAAAGTTGAGTGGGACAAAGGAATTGAACTAGCAAGTTGTTGTGTAATCTTTAAAATAAAAGTGTAACATTTTATATAACTGTTGCAGGAAAGAAAGGAATGTGTCTTAGGAAAACTTACAAGGGGCAGAGATTATTCCACCAGCTGTAGCCTCACCTTCAATTGAGTTATTTTAAATTGCCAATATTCATTTATTTTTTGGAAAATAGCTTCAAAAAATATTAACTATCACTACTGATCAATCAATATTAATACATATCATAGAAATTACTATTATATACCCCAACAATACAAATGTATAATAAAAATAATATGAGACAATTTTTTGAACTCAAATTCGATTTTTTACTAATCTACAATTTGTATAAAATTATTAAATAAAATTGTTGTATAGTGACTATAATATTTTTATATACATTTGGATGTTTGGGGGCATGAAATCGTTATTTTTATAATATGTATTATGAAGTATTACAATTGATCGATGACGATAGTTGATATAGTTCAAAATAATTTTCTCATTATTCTTTATTCAATTTAATCAATTCTTGTGGGACAATTATTTGGCATATGAGTGTAAAAAATAAATCGTTCTTTTTTTACATTTCCTTGGCATGTTTTGAATATTGAACAACACCATGATGGTATAACATCTCCCAATTACCAAACTTTTAAGAATTAAGTATGGTTTTAAATAAATAGGAGCAAAAACGTTTTGAAATTCTAAAATAGGAGTATCATGTTTTTTATTCCCTGAATAGGAGTAATCTGGCAAGTTTGGAGTAAAATGCCATGTTTTAAAACCTAGTAATGTCAAACTTGACAGAAATTTACTCTTATTCAAGAAATAAAAAACATAATAGTCCTATTTTGGAATTTTATAACTTTTTTACTCCTGTTTAGGGAATTCTCTATTGTTTTATCTCGTTGTCAAGATTAGGTGATTTACGCGCTAATGCTTTCTTGGGATCAATAGGCTAAACTAATTTGTCTCGGGTTATTTTTGGAGTTTTTCTCCGAATAAATTACTAAAATAAAACTTACTTACACAAATGTTTTGAACGCAAATTACTATGATTAAGTTACTAGTATAGTCACTAGTCATATTTTGTAATTAATCTTTATTTTAGTTATAAATATGTAATTAATAGATTCATATTTTTGAAAAGGGAAAAGGAACAAGAGATAATTGATAGTTTGAATATTTGAGATAACTAGTTTTATTTGAAAGTATTTGACATAACTAGTTGCATATGTATTTTTATATATTAATTTTTGACACTGGTATCATGGATCAATTCATGTTAGCCGATCCAAAAATCTTTTGAGATTAAGATTTGAATTTTGTGTATTAATTATTAGCTTTTAATGACTGAAAAGAATTTTAAAGAACAATGTTACGTTGTAGTTCTTTGATAAAAGCTCACGGTTTAATATAGTTCTATTTGATATACCAAATGTTATGACTAATTGATTTCTAAGCTATAGTGTAATTCAGAAACTATTCAATGTAGCTTCTAAAAAAATTGTAATGTCAAACACATAATTAATAACTTTTAAAACATTTAAATAGTACAAAAGTTAAAAAGTGCATGGGTGGGACTCAGATCATACCATCACATATGTATAATACATTGAAAAAACTTAATGGTCCTTATTGATTTATGAGCTTTTCTTTATGTGTTTGCATAGATTAAAAGTGGATGAGTTACCATGAGTATTGTGTATAAATAAATTGAAACGCACACTGGAATGACAGAAGGGTCAATTTATCTCCTGAAGTATCCTCACTTCCAATCCCTATATTCAGTGTTTGTACTTATAAAATTAGTGCTCCCTCTATCTGGAAAAAAGATATATAGGGCTCGTAACAATTAAATAAAGTGATAAATCCATTGAAAAGCAAATGGAAATTGTTGATAGATGACACGTAAATGATCAAACGGAGTTGTGATGGAGTGATTCTTTGAAATTAAACATGTTATTAGCACCACTACACTTTCTTTGAAAAGCGACATTGATTTTTTATTAAGCATTATCTTTGTTCAATGTTGAGGTCAAGGATATGATAGACCTTCTAATATATGTGGTGTACTTAATGATTACTAGCATATTTTGGCAAAAAAAAATGTATTCATGATTAATAACATATTTTGGCAAAAAAAATGTTGAGGTCAAGGGAAGCAGTTGCACAAAAAAAGGTTTATGAGTGACTTCTTTATATATATATATATATATATATACACACACACACACACATATATATATACACACACACACACATACACACATACATACACATACATACATACATACATGCATACATACATACATACATACATACATACATACATGTTTACTATTTTTAGCAAGACAATATGAAACAATGATATAGATTTTAGAAAAGGGTGAACTATAACCAGGAGAGAATGATATCAAGAAAGTAATTTAGCTCAGTCAGGAGCTACACTTTGAGGTTCACATTATACAATCATATTTCGTGTTTTTTTGCAGTCTCCTATAATCTAAGTTTTTGACAATATATTTGATGATATAACTAGTTTAAAATTAAATCAAGGGACATTGCTATTAGTTTGATAGAAAAGATGGAGAATAATCAATTTGTTTTTATTCCTCACTTGATGAAGAAAGCATTGGGATTGACGAATAAATTATGGGGTAATTTGAGTTTGCATCCTATTTTATTGTCCAAAATGGACTTTTGCACCTTGTTTTAAAAATCTTTGTATTTGCACCCCAACCCCATATGAAAAGACAAAAATGCCCATCGATCAAGAATATGTTGAAAACCAACAAAATTGTTAATGAAGGGACATTTTTGTCTTTTCATACATGGTTGAGGTGAGAATACAAAAAGTTTTAAAAACGGGATGCAAAGTCCAATTTGGACAATAAAATGGGGTGCAAACTCAAATTATCCCATAAATTATTACATTTCTTGTAAAATCAAAATATTCTCAACATAATGAGCTTGTTTAAGGGCACTAATGGTAAATTTCAATATGTGAGAAAATTTCAAAGAACAAATGGAGTATTTTCCTGTCGTGCAAAGTACTCGTGAAGTTATAAAAAGATGACTAAACTTATAGTTCACAATTCTTTTCACTTGAAATATCATTTGATTGAGTTGACATTAGTGTTACCAGTTACAACAACTATCCTTGAAAGAGCCTTTTCTGCAATGAATATTATCAATGTAGAATTTTTGGCTATGCCTTATGGCCTATTATAGTATATGTTCTTTAAATGTCAACATCCTTGATTGGAATAAGTTTCAAACATGTGACCTCATACTTGAGAGTGTTATAGTGATGCTATCAAGGCATAAGGTGATTAACATTATCAATATAGATACACAATAAGATGTGGGATGACTCTCTTACGGTTGATTAGTGCGCTCAATTGAAAGAGAGATTTTTAGAAATACTCCCTCCGTCCCGTAAAGAAGTTCGTAGTTTGACATACACACATATTTATGTAAGGTAAAGTTTTGTTTTGACTTTCCAAGTATACCCTTACTTTATGTCAAATCAAACAAAAAGTGGGTAAAAAGTAAGGGTAGTTGTGACTTTTTGGTTAAACGTGGTTTTCTTTTATAGAAATGAGAACTTCTTTTTGGGACATCCATAAAAGGAAAGTGAGAACTTCTTTACGGGACGGAGGTAGTATTGGTTATAAAGCATATTTTAATGTCCAGTATACCACTCCTTTCACTGTCCTCCACTGTAATTCCTATACTTACCGGAGTACTATGTATTTGTAGGAAAAAACCTGATGACAGTATGTAATAAATAGGCAATATTTGAATTTGATTATGCTTGGGAAAAGGGATTTGTTATAGATATTATAAAGAGGGTGTTTAACACAAAAAGTAGGTAGTTTTAAAAAAGTACTGTAATTTTCAGAGAGTAAGGTAAACGAATCTTTTAGGTCTATTTGTCAAGTAAAATGTTATAAAAGAATTTATATACTTTTAAGTACCATGATTACCTCTTTAAACTTTACAATGTTTAAAGCTAAGAAGTGCCATAAAGGAATGTTGACAATAAGAGACTATGGAGCAAAATTTTAAACGGGGCATGTGTTTGGAAATACAGAAAAGAGAAAACTTTTTGAAAATTATTTATTTTTCTAGATCCTGAAAAAGATTTTAACTTTAAAATTTTTTTCAAGACGAAGCACCTGTCAAGGAATTCTAATGAACTGCAGGGTGGATATTTTTGTTCATGAGGTCAAATGTATTGATCACACATGTTCTCTTTGACTTATACTTCCATACTAAATCATAATAAGCCAGCATTAAATAATGCGTAGTAAAAAAATACACATATTGTTAAATCAGAAGAGAGAAGACTAAACACTACCAAACTCAAATAGACCGGACGAGAACAGCTTAAAACAGAATTTCCAAGTCCAAATGAGCAGGTCCTATACATACATTGGTAGACAAAAAAACAGCTGGTGTGAGAATGTGGAAGTTCGGAATGAACTTTGTGTTGCAAAATTCAAACACGAAGATTTATATACCCAGTTCATCAGAAGAATTTCAGGAGGGGCTACCAAGTCAGGGATTTTTTAGCTATTTTGAAATGCATTATATACTCGAGATTAATAGCTACTATATTAGGGGTGCATCCTTATTTCAGATTTTACGTGGTGATCAGGACTACGTATACAGTCTGGCTATGTATAGTCTTCACAAACCATCACTCCCTAAGGGTGTGTTTGGGAGTTTGAGGGTGAGGAAAGGCTTTGAAGGAGAGTGGAGTTCAAGGGAAGGGGAGGTAGATGGAAGGGATTCTCTCCTCTTATTTGGGAGTTATAAATTTCAAAAGAGGAGGGTTTTGGAGGACATATAATTAAAATGACACATGTACTCCTTTCTCATTGTATAAACGTTATAATACATTGAATACTAAATTTTTTTATTGTTTAGATTACTAGTTGCTTTGATTTTTTTTCTTGAAAAATTGTTTCAATATTTACAAAGAGCAAGTTTGGTAATACCAAATTCGAAATAAAAAATTTATGAAAATAACAAAATCGGTTTATTATTATATAATTCAGCGCACAAAATAAAAAATTGTGTATTTAATGAAAAAATGACTAGTAAGCTAATAAGTAAAAAAACGGCAGATTTTTTTTTAAAAAAAGAAAGATTTCAGGGAAAGTTATAAAAGAAATGGCATGCAAACTTCAGCGGTTAAATAATTGAGGCAGCTTTAGTGGGTTCATATAGCTAGTCAACCGTATAGTAGACCTTCAAAACCTCCCGATTTGGAGGAACTAAAAAACGGGGGTTTAGGAGGATTATAAAATACCTCCAAACACTTTCCTTCCATTTTAAAAAACTCCCAAACACAAAATGGGGGGTCATTGACCCTCACATCCCTTCCCCTCCCCTCCAAAATCAAACTCCCAATCACACCCTAAGAGAGACTTATAGGCTAGAAGAGCTGAGTATAGACTCCAGAGTCAAATAAATATCTGCAGTCATAGAATGGGATTTGTCAAAAGAATAGAACTGATGAACTTGGCTGTCAATCTCAATCCAACTGCAACCTGGTAGCTTATAAGCACTCTGCTCATTTATTATCTTCCTTAACCTCAAAGCATCATCCCACTTCTCAAGTCCCCCGCGTATATTAGCCAACATTGCATAATACCCACCATTGCTAGGATCTATCTCAATCAACTTCTTTAGAGCAAGCTCAGCCAAATCTGTTTGCCCATGAATCTTACATCCGTTAAGCAAAGAACCCCAGACCACCTCATCGGGGGGAACCCTCATACCCTTGACAACTTCCATGATTTCATTGAACCTCCCTGCCCTGCCAAGAAGGTCAACTAAGCAACCATAATGATTAATCTCAGGCTCAATCATGTACTCCCTAGTCATCAAATCATAGAAACTTAGCCCCTCCTCTACCAATCCTCCATGCGTGCAAGCATTTAGTAAACTGATGAAAGTCACCCCATCCGGCTTTACTAGATCTCTACGCTGCAACATCTCTGTAAAAACACCAATAGCACTTCTCCAGTGACCATGAAGAGCAAAAGAATTTATTATAGAATTCCAACATGTCAAACTTCTCTTTGGGCTTATATCAAAGACTGTTCTTGCTTCTTTCAAACTCCCACATTTTCCATACATATCAATCAGAGCATTCAAAGTGAATGAATCGGACGGGATTCCAATCCTGAGCATATATCCATGAATGCACTTTCCCAGTTGAAGCATTCCACTGTGTCCACACGCAGAAAGTGCACACACCACAGAAGTCTGGTTTGGTCTATTCAGATTGCTCACAGTCTCCTCTAGAACCAACCTCCTGAAAAACAGAAGTGCTTCCGGAAACAAACCATTCTGTGTGCACCCTGAAATAATAGAATTCCAAGAAGGAGTATCTCTCAGAGACTCAGGCATTTCTTCAAACAATAAAATGGCATCTCCCACCTTTCCAACTCTAGTCAAGCAAGAAATCATAGCAGTCCATGATATCACGTTTCTCACAGACATTTCATCGAACAGTTCTCTAGCAATCCTAATGTCAGCCGAAAACCTAGAGTACGAATCCAAAAGCGCCGTTTTTACAACTGGGTATTCCAAAAAACCGTTTTTCTCAATCTGGGTATGCACAATTTGAGTTCCGAAATGCTTGATGACTTCAGGAGAAGACTTCAAGATTAAAGGAAAGATGAACTCATTCGGCTTCGAACTTCCTCTCCGGACCATTTCTCTGTACAATAGAAGTGCAGATTTGTAATCCAATTGCAAATTGTAGGCAGTGATCAAGGCAGTGTAGAGATGTACATTGGGGGATCGGAGATGGTCGAAAATGAAGCGAGCATAGCCAAGGTTGGAGAGGGATACTGTACAAAAGCGTACGAGCTTGGACGCGTAGAATTGAGTTTGACCATGGCCGAGGATGATGAGATGTGCTTGAAGCTGCTTGAGATGATTGATATGGCTGCATTGCTCAAGAACTGTTCGTACGTGAACGTTTAGGTTGGAGGGTGGTGGCATATATTACGGGGATTCTCTTATCAATCCTCCTCCTGCGTTCAAATCCTGCCCTGTTTCATCACTTGCTACGACGGGGTTTTCCCTTTTCTTCCAATTTTAACCGTGCCAGAAAGGTTGCTCAACACAAATGAAAAATGAGTTATCCTATATTCCGTACTATGTACAAGTTTTGCATAATATTCCGTACTATGTACTTTATTTGTATGACAAATATTTAAAGGAAAAGGGTAGGATAGACCCTCGAACTTATATAAAAAAGTCAAATAAACCCTTATTTGGGGCGGTTCCAGGTGGAATTTTTTGATGAAATGTTTTGAGCATCTTATTCATTAAGACTAGTTTACTCATACCAAATTCTAGCTAAGACTTCAATCGGGAAGGCATTCAAATGAATTCTTGAAGATAACTGCGCAGTTAAAAGCACATTTATCTTCAAGAATTCATTTGAATGTCTTTACAATTGAATTGTTACCTGAAATTTGGTATGCATTAACTAGACTAGATGAATAAGATGTTAAAAATCTTTCATCAAAAAAATCCAACGGGAACTTTCCCAAATGGCGACGACCAGATAGAGCCTCCTATATAAGGGCTTATTTGACCTTTTTATGTAAGTTCGAGGGCCTATTTGATCTTTTTCCCAATATTTAATAGTAGGACAAAATTATTGACAATTTCTGCATTTCTAGATGAATTGTCTACAAACAAAATGTAGATGGCCTTGCACAAAAATGTGTACAAATGACATTTCATGATGAAAAAGTGATGGCACTGCAAAAATATGCATGTGATGGATTCTCTCAATGGAAAATCAAGGAATACCATGTTAATCTTTGTACTATCTATATTCTCCATTCACTTTTACTTTCACATAAAGTATCTTTACTTTGGATATACAGAGTATAAATTTATAATTATTTGATCCATTATCCATTTATAATTAGACTCTCTAAAAGACAAACAATAAAGAAGGTTGAAATTGTGTAGTTGGTACTTCATACTCTCTCAGAGACAAAAACAATAAAGAAGATTGAGACCGTGTAGTTGGTACTTAATTTGTAAGAATAAGGATAATTGTGAGTCAATTTAATATGAGAGGACATTTTACAATGGATTAGAATGGAGAATGGCACAAACAAAATGGGATGGATGGAACATAACTTTTTTATCTTCTCTATTCATCTTTTCTTATATTTTCATCTCTTCTCTTGTTTTTTCAAGTACAAAATTATTTGATTAATATTTGGAAAACGCTAGCACCAATAAAAGTGAACCTAAGAAGTGAACAAAGAGTTGTTACTCTTACCTTATTGAGAAATTTTATATTGATTGGCTAAGGCAAACATTTTAGGCAGGCTTGTTCAAGTTTGCTTACCAACCGATAACCAGCAATGTAGTAGATATGGAAAATATGTTTTGTATATTTATTTCTAGTTCTTTAGTCCGATCAATGCGAGTATGTTGTAATACGGGATGTGAGTTGGCTGGGGCACATGTTTCTTGTGTGGGTTGAAGAATTTTTTTCTAACGAAAGACGAAAAGTGTAGTTTGCTTATCATGTTTTTTTGCTACTGTGGAATGATAATTTGACCTCCGCCAGTCAGGCTTTCTTGTGGAATGTTTTTTTGCTACTGTTTTTTTGCAGGAGGGTGGGTTGCTGGAGAAAGTTGTGGGGGTTGAAGTTGAACATGGATGCGTCATGGGGAAAGACCGGTGATAGCCTGATAGGAGGTCTGGCCTTAGAGAGCCGGAAGCTCTTTGATCGAGTTCGTGTAGCTCTCTCACTTGAATCAAGGCTACATTTTGGTTAAATTTATATGGTCAGCGTGACACTAAGTAATCTTGCGATTTTAGTTTGGGGCTGATAATTGATCTTTAGGGCTCATTATGGAAGTGATTGGTTTAGTTTTGAGTCAATTTTCATGTCATTCATTATCTCAGCTGCAGGTAGTGTTCTATGTGTATCCAGTTTTAGGGTCATTGGGGCAGGTCATTTCTAGTTATAAGTAGGATAAAATTTAGTCATCGTCCCTCTTTTCGTTTATTTCCCTCTGACATTGAAAGGATAAACAGTACAAAAATTTACCTAGAGATTCATTATAACGTGAGAGTGCAACAACAAAAGAATACATACTTTGCTCTCTAGTGGAACACTACAAACCACATACAAGTGAGAAGTAACAAGAATATAGGCCATTGGGGCATCCCAGAACCTCCAGCGCCTTGCTATTTATCAGCCTAATAAGATCTGAAAAAACTTTACAATGATTATGTTACTGAATCATCTTTAAATTCAATTGGACCCAACAAACAAACCAAAAACAATTGATAAATATCCGCTTAGCATCATCAGCACCTTCTGCAAATTAGCTCCAATAATGTGGAAAAGCTGAGCAACAATGGTGTGAAGGTAGTTGACTCACATGACTGTGCAGTTGCATTTGGACTCCAGTTTAAGAGGCGGCTTCATGGCTTCAACCTTACTAGGAGGAGCTCCAACAATACGAGCATTTGATTTTTCGGTTGACTCATCACTGTCAGTGTTGTTTGGAAGAGGTTTTGTTTCAGGTTCCATCAACTTTGGTTTGACTTTTTGCTGAGATGATGATCTGGAGTTGCATCTGGCAGCTGTTCTACTCCGCAAATTTCTTCTCTCTGGACTAGCTTTGCTGCCACCAATAGTAACAGTTGGCATGCAAGAATTTTCCTTGCCAATTGCTATATCTGCGGCATTATATGCCAGATTGTGGACAATGGAGCTGCAAAACAGTATCGTATCTGTTGCTTCTTCTAATGTCAGGCTTCTTGTTTTGAATCCTGGTCGCCCCTCGAGGACAACAGTTGATTCCTCTGTCACAAGACAAAGAAAAACCAATCATAATCTTTTCGGCCAAAGTTGTTATTAAAAAAACAGTCAAATTAAGCTTGACCCCCCTCCCCAATTGACTATAAATGTAAGGTGGCAAGTGGCAATAACACTTTAGTATGAATTTGGCAATGTTTTATACTTGAATAGTTCCTAAAACAAAGCAAAATGGTTGACTATTAGTGACTGCGTTGCTAAATGCTAACATTAATGTTCTAAATGCTAACATTAATGTTCTAAGATGAAAATTAACATTTTTGTCCCACGTGTATTTAATCAATATTTTTTGGCTTGGGAATACGATAAAATAAAGCAAAATGGTTCACTATACCGTCTCCGCTTCTTTGTTATGAAGCAACAATCAATCTATGAAGCTTTTGACGCGATTTTCACTATGGGTCATCCAGAAACAGTCTCTTTGTACTTTAGTAATACCCCACGTACATCCAACCCCCCCTTACCCCACCGTAGGTTAGAGCTTTTGTGGCAGTGGGGTAATGATGAAGAAGAAGAAGAAGAAGAGTGTGTTTAATCAGTACTCCCACATATAGTACTCCTGTTCCATTTTGTTTGTCCAATCTTATATCAATTCAATATAAACCACGTAAACCACTTTTTATTGGTTTACTGCCACTCCCTCTTGTCCCATTGTTAGTGGGACGGAGGGAGTAACATTTAGACTCCCATACCAAATTTGATCATATTTTGTGGCTCATAAGCATTCTTACTTTTACAAATTCAACATCAACCACACAATCCTACTTTTATTTAATATTTGTGCCAAATTCCATGCCCCAAACTTTACGGGACGGAGGTATAACATTTAAGGAATAGTCCTATTTTTATATTTTAAACTTTTGTATATGAATCCTACCACATGTAAACAGGGGCGTATCCAGTGTGGGGGCAGCTGCCCCCTCTAGAGTTTCAACCCCCATATATATGTACACAGAATAAAATTTATACACACACAAAAACGATTTATCTATATATAATTAAAAGAAATAGCAGCTTGGAATCAAGAGACGTAGTAGAGTAGCTGGAGCGCAGCGAAGGCTGTAAAGTCTTTCTTCAATTTGCAGTGTCCCGGGTTCAAATCCCTGCTCCTCCATTTTGTTTTATAATTGTATTTTTCACTTTTGTACGGGTATTAGGATACTTGTGTTTGATTTTAGCCCCATCTTAACCCTTCATAAATGTTTCAAATAACCACAATCTTTACTTTGATAAACAATTGGTATAGTTTTGCAATATACTACCTCCGTCCCATAAAACTTTGTCATCTTTGACTTTTCAAGTCAATAGTGGTAAAGTTTGGACCATGACTTTGAATAAAAGTATAACTTAAAAGTACTTTTAACAAAGAATATTTCCATATCATTTTTGTATTATAAATAATTTTCTATAAATATATATAGTTGGTCAAAGTTGAACATGATTGACGAAAAAATTCAAAGATGACAAAGTTTAAGGGGACGGGGGAAGTATTATAAATTTATCTACACATACTATAATATAAATTTTTCTCTTAATACATGATTATTGATTAGACTATATAAAAAATACATGATTGTACATTTGCAACTTAAAATATTTTATTGGCATGCATTACTTGCACTGTGATTAATTTATTTATTATTAAAATAATTTCACTAAAGTACAAGTAGTGTTATTAAATACGGAGTATTATAAAAGTGAAATTTTAACATTACAAAAATTCTTTAAAATGTGTATATTGTTTGGACGAAATGAAAAGTTACGTATTACTCCCTCCGTCCCCCTATAATTGTCCCATTTTTCCAGTTTTGGATGTCCCTTTATTATTGTCTCATACCATATTTGGTAACATTTGTGTGACTCTAATTCATTCTTACTTTATTTCCACTTTACCAACCACATAATTCTACTTTTCATAAAAACCACACCACTCCCTTCCGTACCAATATTAGGGGGACGGAGGGAGTAATGTTTTTGTTGACTAATAGCTCATTATTTATAGCCTATTTTAGAATATTGTGTTTATAATGTAAAATTTGCCCTCCTGAAAATATTTTCTGGATACGCCACTGCATGTAAAGTTCAGCTTTTTTATTTCTTTCTAAACTTTTACATCTCAAGGCCTATAAATGCGTATAAGTATCGCAGTCAAGTACTCTTAAAGTCATTAAAACCAAATCAACACAAGATTAATAAAATTCAAAGGATGCTTACCATATTTATGACATGTGTCTTGTACTTCAAATGAAGATCTAATTTCACTGTCAGTTGCTGCATGTAAAGCACACTCCTTCACTTCATGTGTACTGCTTACTGAACTACTATCAGACCGCAAATGATTAGAGCATATACCACCATTCTGACTTTCCGATCCACATTTTGTATCCGCTCTGTCTTGCTCAGGAATCTCAGTCTGATGCAAATTGTCGACACAATAATTTGTAACATCTTCTTTAACAGCAGATGGTACAGACTCCATGCCAGAAGGATTCATGTCTAAGGAATTATCAGAGTTTGGTAAGATGTAATCATTCTCAGAAAAATTACACTCGAAATGTGCAGCTTCATCTGCGTGGATGCTTGTTAGATTTGAGGAGATTCTACAAACACTTTCACTCTTATCTTTACTGAGTAACAAGTCCGCTTCTGCATTTACAAAGCCCAAATATGGTTCTTCTGGATCGACACGTGTGACCTCAGCATCTTTTTCAGTTTGGGAAGCAGTTATACCAACCTCCTCCAGCGACGAGCTTGTTGCAAGACTTGAAGGTCGCAGAGCTTGGCTTGATGTAGATGAGATTGAACGTTGAAGTTTTGTATCAATTTCATGCCGATAATTTTCCATCTCCAATTTCCTACCACCATAGGATTGCCGCTGAGTACCGATCTCGATTTGCTGATTTGACCCAAAGTCAACTGAAGATGATGAGGCAGTTCCACTGCCATGCCCAAACGAGCTTCTCATACTGCTCACACTGTCACGCACATATGATAGATCATCATAAGCTATGCTAGTGGCACTAAGTGTCCTGTTTTGAACAATATGCCCTTTGTAACTGCCAGACCTTTTCAGTAGCAGAGAAATACCTGCACCCTCCGGAAGAACATCAACATTTGCACTGGAGCTGTGACCGATAGTCCTCAGTTGTTGATATCCAGAATCACCACCACCGTCAGACCTACTAACGATCAAGTTACTATTCAATTGGTGTGTCTGATCAATGGACTTGTTGGAAGTCAAGTCCCAGCCTGGCACTTCAGACGGATTTTCGCAGTAACTATAAGCCTCCTCTTCATGGTGACTAGCCAAAACTTCCAGAGAGTCATTGAGGACTAGCGATTTGTTTAGCGAGGAAGACCTCAAACTTTGTTGAGCTTCCGAACTTTTGCAGTCAAGGCAAAGTTTGGGATCCTCTTCAGTGGATCTGATGGAAGGGAGGTACTTCTTACTGCATCTGGAACAAACTACAAGAGTTTCTAGTTGTGTCATTTCTTTTTCCACTACACTGAAAGATTCTTGAGCAACAAGGTCAACTACATGTGGGCGATCACCATCTAGTTTATCAAACAAGCAGCTAGTTGAGACAGCATTCTTCTTATCAATATCTACAAGGTCTAGAGTGTCAACACTATCTAGAGTAAACACTACTTCGGAATCATGATACAATGACCGTGCATGTTCACTAGTTATGGCCTGGTTTTGTTCACTGTCTTCGGTGTCATGTGCTACACTACCCATACCTTGATCAGAGCTAGCATTACTGCTGGTTGTGACTGAAGAATGTAGAGATCCAAGGGAACGCTGTGCAGCACTTGCTTTTCCTGAATAGAATGTTGAGCTAGGTACACTTGATAACAGCGGCCTGAACATATTATGTGGACTTTTCCGCTGATCCTACAGAAAAAAAGCATTTCAGGTCATCATATTGTCCATGTTTGGGACTCGCATCCAAAAGATTCACTTGAAGTGCGCACCCATAATATTCTTCAATTAAAAGTTTGAAAGCAATACTCTGAAACAAAATAATAAAAGGTGAATGATGCAGTGAAGAATTGGTACGGTCAGATTATGAAATCGAAATACGAGTGTTACACACAACATTGTTAGACAAAAAACATGAAACTGCAGAAGGGTTTTATAGTTCTTTCAAAATCCAATGCAGACTTTAAGACTACTCGGTTGCAGAACAAGTTAACAGATTGCTTATGGGGGGACAGGTGAAATAAAACACAAGCTGGAATAAAAAACTCAGAGGTTATGCAATTTTTTTGGTTTCCACAGCAGAGCTTAGGCATATAATTCAAATATCTTCTGAAAAAAAATCCAAGCCTTAATCCCAAAAGAGTTTGGGGTCGGCTAGCATGAATCAGCATATGATCACGGGCAGATACCTTTAATTCAGAAAAAAATTAAGAAAAACAGAAATGTAAATATATAGAATTAGTGTAAATAATTTATTTTAGTTTATATATATATATATATATATATATTATTTCTTACTTCTAGTTCAACTTATTACTCCCTCCGGATCTTTTTAAACTTCACAGTTTGACTTCACATTGATTAAGAAAATAAATTTGACTTTACTGTAGAGTACACTGTTGAGACACTATTTGGCACTGTTGAGACACTGTTTCACACTGTTGAGACACTGTTTCACACTGTTTAGCACTGTTTAATGCTGTTTTGATGCAGATTTCTTTACCAAATAAGGAAATAAGGAAGTGTGAAGTTTATTTTGGACCGTCCCAAAAAGGAAAGTGTGAAGTTTAAAAAGATCCAGAGGGAGTAGTTTTTCAAGGAGAAGTTGTGCGGAATTTTTTGCATCAAACCGTATAATGCCTAAAAATCTATAGTTTAAAATAATTTCGAACACTCGGAATTTATTGCTAAGTTCGCCTTTGCATATGACATTGGAGTTAATAATAGCTTCTCACGACAAAGAACAAAATAATTTAAATCCATTCCAAATACAGGCTAGATAGATCGATACTCTTCATCAATATTACTCCCTCCGTCCCGGTCATTTCTTCCAACTTTCCTTTTTGGGCCGTCCCAATTAATTCTTCAAACTTCCACTTTTGGAAAAAATATGTGGTTCACATTCATTCACCTTTATCTTACACAATTACAACCATACATTTTTACTTTATTCCCACTACCTAAATTTGCGATACCGGTCAAAACCGGAAGAAATGACCGGGACGGAGGGAGTATAAAATTGATTTGTGAATCTATTATACGGAGTAATAAATTCCTGGTACAAATAAGCTCAGAAGACAAAACTGCATTATGTTGTTTTCTGATCTTATTTAGTTTATCACCATTAAGAGCCAAGCACGAAGAATAAATTTTGATACCATTTGGCGAAGTGTCGAGTCAATGGACCTCTTTGGAGCAGAGCTCGAAGAAAGTATTCTAGCTGTCTTCTTGTTTAGACCCATAGCTTTATTTTGTTGAAGTGCCCCGCCAATGCTTCTATGACTCAAAGGGTCCAAACTGCTCACATGAATTGATTGTAACGATTCCGTGTCATCATCACCAGATGATGCAATTGAACATTTACTATGAGATCTAACACGGTCATGACTATATGTTGAACTGATACTTCTAGCTGGGGACTTTGATGATCTTCTGCTGGATCCATTTCCTGAAGCCGGTGAGGAACCCCTAACGTATGACGTTGGGCGGTCGGCCAAGGAAGTGCGAAGGTTAGGAGGTGCCTCCAATGAAAATCCATGAAGAATATTAGACTGTGGTGCCCTAATCTTAGGTGATGCAGAATTTCCTCTATTTGACTTAACAGGGGATGTACCCCTCACCCTTGAACCTGTGCTCAATCTTCTAGGAGTTGGTGAAGATGAGTTTAAAGGAGGTGTTGAGAGTTTATGGGGCGGAGAGTGGGGAGTTGGTCTCCTTGGAGGAGTGGCATGTCGTGAGGTTGGTGGGGGGCTTGAACGAGAGGGTGAAGAAGATGGCCTGCGTCTCATTATCTGATGATTTGCTGTGTTATTACTGGAAGACCGGGGAGAAGGGCTTAAGCGGTTTGGACTAGCACTACCTCTGCTACTTCTATAGCTCATCTCCATCTGCATATGACATGAATCCACAACACAAGTGAATGTCAAGGAGATACTGAAAACATGCATAATGAATGTTCTCCACTTGCGATGATGCACTTACAGTGGCTGATCTGGAGATTGAAATGGGCTGACTTCGAGGTCTTCCCCTCTGTTGAGCATTGACTGGTGGTGTCTCATCATCCAATGAAGGAAAAAGAGGAGTGTCCGGTGGAGTTAATAACCTTCAATAATAATTTTAAACAATAAATTATTAAACAAGAAAAAGTGAGATACTGAGTTATAGAATTAAGATACGCTAGTTAATAGTTCAGATAGAAACAAAATAAAAAAAGAATGAAGAAAGACACTTAGCAGGTCATACTGTTTTTCTCCCCGTGTCAGTTTCAGTTTATATAATGCATAGCAATTTATGGGGTTCTGATTTTCGAGTAGCATGGAGCAGGTTTTACATCAAACTGGTTATGGGCTAATTAAGATGAGCAAAATTGGAAATATACTGAAGACAAGTTCATTAGTGTGCATTCACATCTTTAAATAGTAAAAAATCTAAACATAAACAACAAAAGGTAATTAATACCAACCAGTCATAATCATTCTTGTCTCCCTCTTCATTAAGCAGTTCACTGCTGCTCTCTCCGCGAGCGGGAATGGATATCCCAAGTTTGTACTCCGAAAAGCATCTAAGCTTAGTTGCTGCCAAAATAAATAAACAAACAAATATGGGCGTGAAAGTGTCAGTCCTTTGATGGGGGAGATAAACTGTTTTAAGTATCTAATATTGTATAAGGAAAAAGCAAGTCTAAGAATTTACAGCATATGTCTTCAAATTCATCTTTGGTGTCAAGCAAGAAATTATCTCTCTCTCTGCTTTGCACCTCATTAAACAGCGCAAGGTCATCAACTTTCTCCTGGAAAACTACCCCATTCTCTAGGCTCCGGCCTCTATTGTGATTCTCTGTCTTGGGTCTTCCCCTTCCGGGGGAAGGTCTCATTGCAGGTGAAGGAGGCATTCAGCAGTGTCCAGGTTCAACAAAACCAATAACTAATGGAAAAATTAAATTCCTCCAAGGTGCCTGCCTCATGAACAAGGATTTAACCAAACTTTAGTACCTAATTACTCAACCCATGTACACTTCATGAATCAGGATTCCACTCCACCAACCAAATCTACTGCTGTAAGCAATGTGGAGCTCCTCAAAATCTCCATATCAACAACCACACCATTTTAGAGACTTCCAAGCTTAAGGTGGCAATCAATCAATTCCCAAATAGTAGTTCCCAATAAAGCTCAAATCACAGCTTGGAACTCAAATACACAAGAATCACAATTTGGCTGTGGAAATAACGATCCATGCCCTAAACACAAAAACCACTACAAACTGCTAACTCTTCAGCTGCACAATTCGTCGACAGTTTGTGTTATAAGTAAAGAACTTTCGCGGTTCAAGAATTATTCAGCTGTGTTCTTTCACTTACCGTCAGCAAAGACACAGCAAGCTTTCAGCTCTAATGCTCTGGAGATCGCAAATTCGGAAACCAACAGAACCCCCTTCAAATTCTGATAATTCTCGAGCTCGGAAGTCTAATAGCAGAACCGGATCTGCCAGCACTTGAACAGATCAAGAAATGTAGAGATCGGTAGATCAAACCATGAAACAAAATTAAAAATAGCTTCTTTAGAGAGTAATTATTGGAATTTGCATACACAGTACATATAGAGTACAGAAACAAACAGGCAAGAAGCACGTGAAAGATGGATTGCAATGGGGGAAAGGTGAAAGTTCAGTACAGGGCAGTGGGCACAGCGGGATTTGATAATGAGAAGAAGCTTTTCTTCTTCTTTGCTTCTCAGCAAGCTTTTCTCAGTTTTTCTTTTCTTCCTTTTGCTTTTGGTTTGGGCACTTGAGCAGTAATAATTCATGGGATTTATGATTTTTGTTGGAGTGAGTTAAATTATTATGCAATTAATAATGACTCCGTATAAATAAGTACATAGTGAGTGAGATTAGCAGAAGAAGCAGTAAGTACCTTTATGTGTTGGATGAAGACCCATATGCCTTACTTTTCTGGATGGGATATGTCTTTTATGACGCCTCAATTCCCTAGATAATAATGAACTATCGCTCGATGCTCCATTCCAAATGAACGTTTTTCAACCATTTTAAGGTATGTTCACACAACTTAAAAATGGAGTGTTTCAAAAAAGGATAACATCCCATTCCGAGGATCCCTAACCCCGACCGGAAAGTACCTTTGGAGGATGTAAATTGGAATATAATCTGAATCTGACAGATAGAGAGTGAGGCTCTGTCCCCGGTACTTGCAGAGGCCCTATGCATTTTTAGCATAGTAACCCTTCATAGTCAGGGGTGGAGCCAGAGTACTGGGCCGGACTGGGCCGATACAAAGAATATATTTGGGAAAAAAATTACACAATTTTTTACATTAAAAATATGAACATTTTTTAAATTTAGGCCGGGCCAGAGCCAGAGTTGGCTCTCCCCTGACTCCGCTCTGTTCATCGCAGTTGCCGGGATTCGAACCCGGGACCTAACCCTTGTGGCACACCCTTGTTATCAGTTGAGCTACGCCCACAAGTAAAATAATGGAGTGTTTCAAGATTACACATTCCTGCCTCAAGATGAGTGACAATCTAGGAGAGAGACCGGACATTGAAGCATTATTTCGTGCACTTTTGTTTAGTTAAAGCATTTAAAATATATTTAATTGATTATAGTGGAAATTGTAAAAAAGTTACATATTGAAAGTTTAAAATGAGAGAAACTTAATACTGTTTTTCTAAAGATAATCTATTAATACAATTATAAATAAAATGTAGGAAAATTTCCTAAAATAAGAATTAAAAATAACGTGAAATTTAAATATATGAGTAGTGTGATTTTATTGCATAAAAAGAGAGTAGTTTTTTCTAAAGATCTAAAATGAAGTAGTAATTGTCATGTTTGTGAAATACTTCCAATTACACTATAGGGACTATGATGATGTACTTCAGTACTTGTAGTAATTTTAATCATAGTTTTGTACAATACTTTAATTTAAATAATATTTAGGAAAAATTCTCTGGTAAAAATATATTATACTCATATTTTAGAATTTCACATTATTTTTACTCGGCTAAAGGGTCAAATAGACTCATATACCCGTCCGTAATGCTCAATTCACCCCTTGAACTCTAAAAAACTTCAATTCGCCCTGAATTCGACAAAAAAGTTCAAATCTCATTTCTTGCAAGTAAAAGTCCGGTCACCGCCACGTCACCCGGTCAGATGCCAACGGTGCATCCCACGTGGCAATTTAAGGGGTCAAATAGGCCCCTGAACCCGACAGAGTTATTCAATTTACCCCCTCAACCGTTTAAAAAATATCAAAATTGCTATTAAATAATAAGAAATTAAAAAATAAAAATGCTTCAATTCTAGGATAAAATACTATAGAAATTAAATACTATAGAAAATAAGAATATAAAATAATATACAATTGAAGATGATTGTAACTATAGTATTTAATGTGATCGAATGATGCTTCAATTCTAGGATTTTGCATGTAATATTGTTTTATTTATACATGCATATTCAATGGAATCTGGCCCTTTTTTGCACTGTAGGCTTTCAATAATACTCTATATACGTAGTATTGTTGCTTTCTAGGGTCTTCTAAAGAATTTGGAGGCATCAGTTTCAAATGGCAATTTGAGTCCCCTTAAAACAAGAAAAAATACAAATTTTAAATATGTAATACAAATAGATTACACAATTCAATGAAATATAAATTTTATGATGTTTAAAGTACACAAATTAGAGAATCTAAAAGTTATATACCTTTTGGAATCTTGAATAATGCATAATATTTAGAAAAATCAATTTATAACTAATAGCCCGTATTACTCCGTACATTCCTAAAAGACGCTTTGTTGCTTTCTTATGGCCTAAAACAAAGTAAAAAGCAGCATTTGTTTTCGAGTTTTAAACTATTTGGTCCAAAAGGTGGAATCTCCCACCCCAAGAGCCCCCCATACTCCGACCTGACAGGATTTTTGGGAGGATGTTAATCACGGTGACTCAGTCGGCCCAATGATGGTAGGCCTTTTTCCCGTGCGCACCAGAGGTCCAGCCTTATTTCAGGTTCTGTGACCTCCACACGACCACTGCGGGTTTCGAACTTTGGTCACTTGGTCCAAATTTCCAACCACTGAACCAACTAAGCTACCCGTGCGGGTAAGTTTTCTAAACTATAGGTGCATGCTAATATGCTATTTGTCCTTCCCGTGATTTATTATTGGTACGCTAACGTATTTAGTCATTTTGAGAAATATTCAAATGGGATCATCAACTAAAAGAATTAGTTCGTATCTTAATGAATTCGTATTGGATTATTTTGGTATATTTATTTTCATAAAACAATTAAATTTGCCTCCAAGAGCAGTATAACGTGGGATCATCCCACGGTGAGCATGGTGCTCCACTTTCAAAACGACGCAGCTTTACCCAAATGTTTTTTAAAAAAATCACGTGAACAGTACACGCGTGAACAGTACACGCGTGTACATTAATTGTTTTTTCTTTCTTTTTGTCTCGGTAGCATGAATGATATAACTCGCGAGTAAAGATATGTAACTTACGTTATTGATTAATGTAACTCAAGTGCATTCGAAATGTAACTTGTCAAATACATAGTATTAAAAATACAATATTGATTTCAATGTAAACAATGAAAAAAAGAGTCTAATTTCACAATTGCTTTACGTAAATTGTGAATATGTTTTGTTTTTAATATCATGACCATAAAAAATATTTTTTTTAAAAAAAATTGTTTCAATAGCAGGGGTTGATTTTTTAATGTAACTCATGTTATTACAAATGTAACTCGTGTTGATGGCAAATATAACTTAGATGTATACAGAATGTAACTTCTTGAAAAATTGAACATTTTTTTTGTGTGTGTTTAAGAATAATATATATGTCATAAACATTGATTTCAATGAAAACAATGAAAAATTGATCCTAATAGCTTAATTACTTTTTTTAAATAGTGAATATGTTTTATGTTTAATATTAGGGCTATAAAAATGATATAGCAGGGGTTTATTCCGTGGTGTAACTCACATACACTAAGATGTAACTTGCGTATATTAAGATGTAACTCGTGTACATTAAGATGTAACTTGCCCAGAAGAAGATGGAATTTGTTTTAATATGAATACCCAAAGCCCATCAATTAGATTGATTTGCTCCAATATCACGTTTACTCTGTAAATGATATACCAAAGCATCAAAATTGAACCAACAGATAAACGTTCATCTTGTTAATAGGATAAATTAAATCATTCAGTTCATACTCACCCTACTAACCTGCCACGATGTTCCCTTCGCCGAAGTTTCCATCTTTTTTTATCGTTGGATTTTGCTAGAAGCTAACAGCTATCTACTGAAGGAAGAGTTCGTAGCTAACCAGGAAGTGAAACGGAAGGGTTCATCGCTGGAAAATAAGAACAATGTGCTGCTCTGATTTTTAAGTGCAAAACGATGCCGTATGGGGATCGGCACATCATGTGCATCATGGGCCGATCCCACGGTATAATTTGCGCTCCAAGAGGGGCTGAGGGAGAAATCATTTCAATTCGTAATTTTTTACTCCCTCTGTCCTAAAAAAGTTCACACTTTCCTTTTTGGGTCGGCGCAAAATAAAGTTCACACTTCTTCTCCCTTCCTTATTTGGCAAATTATCTTTATCAAACAGTGCAAAACAGTGTCAAACAGTGCAAAACAGTGTCAAACAGTGTTACAATAGTGTACTCTACAATAAAGTCAAATTTATTTGCTTAATTTGTGTGAAGTCAAACACTGAACTTTATTTAGTACCGGATGGAGTATAATATATACTCGTATTTCCATTACATACTCGTTTTACTTCATTTATTGAAGTGGATGCGAGTAAAAGGAGATTGAATGTGCAAAAGACATTTCATGTGTTTCTTCTTTAATTAACCAAAGAATGGTGGATTGACACATGGGGAAAAAGTACACATTGCATATACTTGTTAAATTTGGTTATTTAATACTCTCTCCGTCCCTTAAAACTTTGTCATATTTCCTTTTTGTGATGTCCAAAAAACTTTGTCACTTTTTCTTTAAATCAATTATTTTGTGGGTTCTGTTATTTCTCTCTCCTCTGCACAAATCTCAACCACACAGTTTTTACTTTATTATTCTCTGTGTCGACCAACTTTGGCAAAGTTTTAAGGGACTACTACTATAAACTTATCATTATTTGTTGCGAAAGAGGGAGTGGAGAATGATAGTACAAAGTCATCGAGAGAGTTGTTTCTCTTCCTGTAAACTCCTTTACGATCCTCCCAATACCCACCACGCACTTACTTATAAATGAGCCAAATCGTTCATGAGCGGCTGTGGATCGTTCAAACAAAACTCGACTAGAATCTTTAACGAGCTCAATTTAAATTTATTTATTTTAGACTCGTGACTCGCGAGCCGGTTCGGGAGCCTTTGTGTGTGTGTGTATATATATATACATATTTAATATATATAATAGTATATTTGGAATATGAATTCTGAGTTAGCACTATTCAATTTTCAATACTTATTTGGATGTGTATTGATGATGGTATTTATTATAAATAAAAATAATATTTATTATGACCATTAATATTATATTATTATATTATTATTATAACCATAATATGTAATAATTATAATCTGTAAATCTGTAATATTAATTGATAGTATAATAAGGAATATAAATGTTATTTTTTGTATGTATACATGTAATATTAATAATTTGAAAATAAAAATTTATATGATTGTTTTGTTACGTTGTATGTATGCATGTATGTAGTAATATTTTAATTTGACAATAAATTTTTTATTTTTATTTCGAATTCGAGCTCGAGCATCTTATTCAGGCTCAAACTTATAAACAAATAATTAGCAATAACTTGACATGAGCTCGAGCTAAGCTCGTGATGGATAATCGATACTCATATTGTATAAGTTAGGAGAGATGAACAAGGGAGGAGGGGATGAGTATTGTGTATGAATATGAAAGTTGTGACTTAGGTTTACAAGCCTCCTATAAGGAGTATATATAGGGAAATCCGGGTCTGGGCCTCTAATATGGGCCCAACAGACCCGGTTACATAAATAGACTAATAGTATAAGAAGCTAATCTAGTACATACAATGAATATGTAAACTACACAGTAATATAAATGTTGTCTGTTGTTGTGCGTGAATCGCTGTCTGCCTGTCCAGGCCCAATGATTGGTAAGCCGGGGGGTCGGGGTCCATATTCTCCATCAGCTCGGCTCGACTTCGAGCCCGACTTATTTATCACGTTCAAGCTCGAGCTCGAACTCGAGATCGTAAATTCTTATCAAACTCAAACTCAGGCATACCCATGTTCGAGTTTGGCTCGACTTGTTTGTGGGCAAATTTTAAGGTGCACCCGGGTGTACATATACACCCGGTATTTTTGTGACTGTTTACCGGTTTCAATGTGGTTATTAATATCTTTGTTCTTGACAATGAAATACGGAGTAACTCTTTACATGAATGACGGTGGGAGTCAAAATTCCAGCCGCCACCAACTCTTTGAGATCCAATACAAGCCTCTATTTTCTTCTTCAGAATTAGTCTTCGACCTCCACGCTCGATCTCTAAAGCTCCGACGTCTGCTTCCATTCTATTTGAGAATTGAATTTGTATTTGATTATATGTGTGTAGGAAACTTTGTGAGTGGCCTATTAGCCTGGAGAAGAAAAATCGCAGGGAGTAGAAACTACTAGAAATTTTAAATGAGCTTTTAAACTTTTGTCTACCAACTGTTTGAAAAATTTACAGAGTGAAAGTTCATTCCTCTTTTCATGAAATATCTTATTTTTTGTTGCACATGTATATTATATTAAATGAACATACACAAATTGATATTTGAGCATACTAGAGATTTTAAATGAGTTTTTAAATTTTTCGATGCTTACATATGCTCATTTGATATTGGTGTAATTCTCATTTAAATTGAGCATTACACAAGACATTGTAAAAGAGAAAATTATCACTCATATGACTAAAACTACATGTCTTTCCTATTATATGACTACACTAGTTATTATTCCAATAATAATACATTAATGTCATGAATGATTTTTAATGTTTTTTTCTTTCCAACCGTTGCCCTCTATATTAAATATAGGAAGTGTGTAATTCTCCCTATTCATGCGGAATTGATATGCACAATTAAGAGAAACGGCACATGAATAGGGTGTTTTAAAAACTATTCCTAAAAATAAGGATTTATAGGTTCATTTATGGTGAGGCCGAGGATTACACACCGGATAAGTATTAAACACTAAGCCTAAAAAATAGGGGTTATCCCATTTATGTTAACCGAAGTGAAACCCGAACATGCAAGGAAATTGCATGGCCCGGTCGGGCCCACTACCTCACCCGGTCGGGTGAGAAGTGACCGGGGACAATCCGGCATGCAGAAACACAAGAACATGGCGGATGATCTGATTTGGACCAGTACCCGGTCGGGTGGTCACCATACCCGGTCGGGTACCCGGCTAAAGGTGTTGAAAAACATCTATAAATAGCACACAATTTCTTCACTAATGATCATCCCTTCTTCCATATACTTAAGCTCAACTTAGAATAGTATTTTCTTTATATTTTTCTAGCATGTTTAGTCTCCAAATGAGGAGCTAAACTCTTCCATCTTGTTTTTGCTACTTTGAAGCTTAATGAATTGTAAGTTGTGAGTTATTTTCTTTAATCTTCTTCCTTGAATATTAATTATTAGTTATTTCCTTACTACTGTCTCTACATTAATGTTGGGGAGTGTTGCTAAGATGACAATTAGTTAACATTTTGACATTAGTTATAGTAGTATTTTCTTCCTCTATATTAATGTTGGGGAGTGTTGCTAAGATGACAATTAGTTAACATCTTGATATTAATTATAGTACGATTCATCTTCTTTAATAATATTCTTCCTTGAATATTAATTAATTCCTATTCATATTTCATATTAATATTTTGAGCATTACTTAAAGGATCAACTAGTTTTGTTTCATATATTAATTATTACTAGAATCAATCGATTAATACGCTTGTTATTAATTCGGTTCGTTCAACGGTAGTAAACTTGGATTATTAATGCATGCGTCTCATGGTTAATAATCTAAGGGGAATTAATTATATTGATTAAACCAATAAACCGCTTGTGTTGAGGTTATCAATCTCAATCGTTTTCATCTTAAGTTTATTGCTACTATCGGGTTCATATATGGCGTGTGTTCTATATTGACTCGGTAGTAAGTTTTTTTAATGAACGCGTCTCGTTATTAATAACTACCCTCGATGAAATGGAGATACTCCTCGATTGAATATTCGAGAGGAAGATAATTAAAGATATAACCGGGATCAACGAACATTTCATTAAATGGATAAAAGTAAAACCAAGTCTTCATCTCTATTAACTAAAACACATAAGTCGTTCATCTTAGTGTTTAAATACATTTAAATTCATCAACAATCATAAAAACCTCCCTTGTCACTATTTAATTAAAAGAAAGATATTCCTTTCCCTGTGGATACGAATCTTACTACGTTATACTACGTATACGTGTTAGTATTGAATTTATTTTGACGCACTACGACAAAGTGCTCGTCATCGTAGCTCCTTCCCTACTAGGAGGTAAGTGTGTAAGAGAACTAGTATGGATCTAGATCACATTAGCAAATATGATAAGGAACAATCATGTACTAATCAAGCTGACTAAAAAAGAATAACATAGCGTCAAATATTCAATATTGTTATTTAGTCACGTAAAGAAACAAAATAGGTAAAGGGGAGTGATGTTCTTTCGAAGAAAATTAGATGCACTTTTTGTGCACAATTGAAGGCCCGTATTCATCGTAGTCTACCTCGTTAATCCACATCTGCACAGAAAGAAACAACTACCATTTTGAACAGAACATTTCACATTAATATCAAATAACTTTTAGTAATATCAACTATTTTTCATTTTTTCATGTACCAAGAATAATACGTATTTTTGAAATAACTTTTAATAATACCAACTATTAGAATAAACAACAAGTGATACGGAAATAAATTTCAAAATTCATTCATTTAACTCATAAAAAATTCATACCCAAATTTCAAATAAGTGACCCTATTTACGAATACAATTTATTTGATGATTTGGTATCAATTCTTGATGTATTAAATGACCAAGTTTCTAGTCAAAAAATTAGTTTAATTTATTTTTGTTATATATCCAACTAGTAGGTATTATTAACAATAGTCTTAAAGTATATATTATTATTAGTTTACGGATGATAGTTGTTATTATTTAAAGTTTCCCTATAAACTAATACTCCTATGAGATAAAGATTTAGGTTGGACTCAAACCTGTTGGAATGAATATAGAGAGGCTACGATGGAACCTCCAAGCCAAGCACTATACTTCCTCTCAGGTGGTGCCACCACCTTTACTTTTGTGCCACTAGGGGCCAATGCAGTAATTTCCTTGGTCAGTCTATTAGCAAGGCCAGGGAACATGGTATTACCACCACTGAGTACAATGTTTCCATAAAGCTCCTTCCTAAGATCAACATCACATTTCATTAGAGACTTGTGTAAGGCCTCATGGATTCCTATACCATCCTTCCCAATGATCGAAGGCTGGAAAAGCGCCTCGGTACAATGAAAGAGCTCTGAACCCAACGTGATCACCCGCCCATTAGGAAACTCATAGACCTTTTCTGCCACAGAGCTAGTCTTTGAGGCTGCTATTTCCTGCTCATAGTCAAGTGCTACATACGCAAGCTTTTCCTTTATGTCTGTTTGAAGATATTTGACTGCAATAGAGGCGAGACAGTGTTTTAGGAGCATCCCGTTGTACTAATATATTTAGAACACGTCTGTCCCGCTAAGGTTTACCTTTTTTCATCTTGGTCCGTCCCACTTGGATTGTGACAGATTCCCACAAGAAGGTGGTGCAGTTATTAAGAAAAACGGATTAATGTGGTTGATTATTGAATTAATAAAGTAAGAATAAAGCAAGAATCATTTAAATGACATAAACTTTACAAAATTTGGTTTATAACAATTTTAGCGGGACGGCCTTAAAAGGAGAGATGAGTCGATCTTAGCGGGTGGAGGGAGTAATGCGTAATACGTAGTACTTTATAAAAATGATAATGTTGCTTTATGATGATGCGAACAGATTGCACAACATACACAAATTAAGGTAATTATTGATGTGGGTTGTCTCTATGATAGCATTTGCCAAATAAGATGTGATGTCACAACCACCAAAATCAAGACGAAAGATGGCATGTGGAAAAGCATAGCCCTCATAGACCGGAACAACGTGAGTAACCTCCTCACCAGATTCCAAAACAATACCTGGAAAGGGAAAGAAGCAAAATCACCAAGGATCAAAAGCATCAACAATGAGTGCATAATTTAAGTGGAGCGGTGCGTCCACTGCATATTGGCGTCCCCGCAGGGCGAGGTCCGGAGAGGGGTCCTATATATCACAAATAAGGATGTATAAGTGATTCCCAAACTAGGCAAGTCCTCACAGACCACTCTCAACACTTGAACTCATGAGTTCTCGGCCAGTGGCGTAGGTAGGGGCCCAAACTAAGTCAGACCAGTACAAAAAAAATTTATTGAAAAATCTTATCACAGTTTTTTTGCACTAATATTTAAAGCATTTTAAAATTAGGTGTGGGTCGGGGCCTACCATGGCACACTAAGCTAGCTCCGCCACTACTCTCGGTCACACGCCAACATAGTAACATGACCCAAGGAACTATGAGAATCATTGAAAGCGCCTCTGATCTTACCGGTGGTGTGACCACTCAAATACAAGGAAAGAACGGCCTGATTAGCGACATACATGGAAGGGGCACGAAATGTCTCAAACATGATCTCTGTCATTTTTTCACGATTAGCCTTAGGATTAAGAGAAGCTTCAGTTAGGAGCACCGGGTGCCCTTCTGGAGCAACACCAAGTGAATCATGATATGTATGGTGCCATAATTTCTCCATGTCTTCCCAGTTGGTAACAATACCATGCTTAGTTGGTGACCTCAGGCAACAAATACCTCTCTTAGAAAAAGCTTCATCTCCTACATATACATCCTTTTGACCAAGGCCTATCATGACACCCGTATGACGGGGCCACCCAACAATGCTAGGGAAAACATCGATGGGAGCATCATCTCCCGCAAGCCCAGCCTATAAATTGAACCATGCATTATAAGAAGGAATTGCTTTGTACTACATCTGTCCATTAAAACTTTGTCAAAGTTGACCGACACGGAGAATAATAAAGTAAAAAGCGTGTGGTTGAGGTTTGTGCAGAGGAGAGATAAATAACATAAACCACAAAATAATTGATTAAAAGGGAAAGTGATAAAGTTTTAAGGGATGGAGGGAGTACAATAAAAGTAAGACTGTGTTGAGTACCTTGGTCAGTGCAGACCCATTGTCAAAGACAATCGGTTTGACCTCAAATGCTTCCGCCATCTTGTGTCACCTCCTATGGGCAAAAAATACAGCATTGATAAATCAACAAATAAGAAGACAATATAATATAACTTATGTAAGGAATGTTGTCTAATTCCAAAGTCTAGCTCATGCTCTACCACACAAATGTGTAACTAAAAAAAATTGTTCAGACACTAGCATTTAAACTATTGGTTAACTTTCTTCAAATTAATAACTTAATACTCCTACAAAATTTACTATAAATGAATCGTTTTAGGGAAAATTTCTAAAATAGGAGTAAAAATGTTTCAAAATTCTAAAATATGACTGCCATGTATTTATTTCCTAAATAGGGTTAATTATTGTCAAGTCTGGTAGAGCCAAAATACGGTAGTAATTACTCATATTTAGGAAATAAAAGAATAAAAGTCTTATTTCGGAATACACAAACAATTTTAGTCCTATTTAGGGCAATTTCCCATCATTTTAATGAGATTACCCAAGAGGTACCAAACCCGAAAAAATCAATAAAATGTGTTTTTCCTTAAAAGATTCTAATTAAATACTCACGCAATTAAAAAATTAAAGCAGTTTTAAAACATAAGATTGTAAACAGCATTACCAAGAGTCCACAACCAGTTACTTATTTGTAGCTGCGCCGTCAATATGTCATTCATTATCTTTCAACAATTGATAACTATTTATTGGACAATCTTACTGAGATGGACTAAAAAGGAAATATGAGACAATCTTAGCGGGACAGAGGGAGTAAGTTGTAAATAAAAAGGTAAGAAAGCTCTTTCTATTGCTATGATAAAATTATTGTCTCCACACTTTTAGAAGACAAAAATATGACTATTTTTTCATTTTTTTTGATGATTTGTTTATTCATTATTATCAGCTTTTTTAATTCATTGGAAAAAATAATTAGAAACTTTTTCAGCAGTCACAATGACATGTTTCGCGGTGGTAGTCACATTTGTGATTAGGGGCGGTGTCAGGGCACTAGGCTGGCCGGATTGCGCCGGTATAAAGAAAAGGTTTGGGGAAAAAATCCAATTTTTTTACCTTAAAAATTAAGACATTTTTAAAATTTGAGGTAGTCTAGAGCCTAAGTTGCCCCCTAGTTCCACCCTTATCTGTGGCAATGAGAGTGACATTTGTTAGTGACATAAAGTAAATTCAGTTACTTTTTGACAATGATCTTCAATTTAATACGAGTAATATTTAAGGAAAACCTTGTACGTGTATATACGAGTGTTATGGTCGGCAAATTTTGAAGTGCCATGTTATTTTAAAACTCAGCCGGGATTAGAAACTAGTTCAGGATTAGAAACTAAGAACTAGATGACTATATCACATGGGTTTGAGAAAGAGGTTCAGTGTTTGATGGAGTATATGGGTCTGAGCCCCCGGACCCACATACTCGGTACAGAAAGCACAAGATAACAGAGTGGCGCCCTCGTCGGCCAAGACGCCCCCGTCGGCCGAAAAGGGGCCAACTCGGATTATGGTCATGAGTCCAAGGAACCCGGGTGCCCTCGTCGGCCGTGCCCTCGTCGGCCGTGCCCTCGTCGGCTACGCCCTCGTCGGCCACGAAGACCTCCCAGAACCGGATTTTATACTTACTCATTTGTACAGCCCATTAGTGGCTTTGTATTCGGCCCAGTAGCGGTCCAGTTGTAGATGGGCCTCCCAAGCCCAAGGCTTGGGGGCCCAACCCTAATTTTCTCTATAAATACTCCCTTTGGGAGTAGTTATAGGGGTTACAAATTCATTCTATTGAATCATATTATTGCATTTCTCTCTCTAGCTCTCACTTCTCTCTAGATATACTCTATCATTTGGTGCTCTCGTTGAGAGCTAGAACAATCAAGTTAGCACCCTTCGTCGCTACCAGGCACAGCTAACCACTGATCATGGGGAGAACTAAGTCAAACCGCAACCTCGTCAGCAAAGTCATCCCTGAGGACCAAGAGCCCAGGGAGCACGATGAGGACGCCACGGCCGACCAGGCCGGCGGAGGGGATCTCTTCCAGGAGGCTTTCAACCTCACAACGGACCTCCGCAACCAACTCAACGGCGGCGGCCCTGATGCCCGCCTCGGCTTGGACAAGAAGCGAGCTGAAAAGACGGATCACGCCCCGGCCCAGCCTATGCCGCGGCCTCTCCGTCCGTAGATCCTCAGGTCCAGGCCGCACTATCGGCTATCATCGCCAGCTTGGCTCAGAACCCCACCGTCCTCAGCGCACTCTTGCCAAGGACTGGGGGGAACGTCACTCAACCTCCTCAACCCCAACCGTTGGCCGTCCAGATTGGCAACGACGAGGGGGTGGTGCCCCAGGACACGGCGTCGTCCCACTCCCACCCTGCTTCCCCTCTTCGGCCCGGGCAGACCCCAGCGCGTGGAAAAGCCTCTGCCTTCAATAGGCTAGGTGACACGCGCCGTCGTCCGGTTTCGGAGAGGATGGCGGGACGGATTGGTGATCCTCATCCTGGCTCGCCAAGGGAAAGCTTGGGGTCTTTGTCCCAGACAGCGGACCAGCCCCGCCCGGATAAGGGCAAGGGGAAGTTGCACGAGGATGACGTGCGTCACCAGATCAACGCGGCTCACAACGAGCGCCTAAGGAACCAGCCGGGCGCCGCTGCGGCCAACAGGGACCCCCGGGACGAGGTCCTCGCCCAGCTGGAAAGGAGGCTGGCTCAGATGGAGGCCAAGCAGTCGGCCAACATCCCTACGGCGGGCGCCTCCAACGACCCCGGCCTCAACGCCCTCATGAACAAAGTTAGCGCCCTGGAGAGGGAGCTGGCCGAAGGGCGGGGTGACCCCATCATCCAGGTCAGGACTAGGACCCCTTTCACCAACAGGGTCCTCTCGGCCCCCATCCCTGAGAAGTACAGGGGGAACGCCATCAAGTCCTACGATGGCCGATTAGACCCCCAGGAGCACTTCAGCCGTTACCAAAACAACATGCTGATGGTGAACGCGTCCGACGAATACCTCTGCCGTTGGTTCCTCTCTACTCTCGAGGGGCCAGCGTACGAGTGGTTCAACGGACTGCCAGAAGGAAGCATTGACTCATGGCAGGATCTCGCCCAGCGCTTCCTCACTCACTTTGCCGGGAGGAAGCGCGCCAAGAAGTATTTCACCCACCTCCTCTCCGTCAAGCAGCAGCACGAGGAGTTCCTCCGGTCATTCGTCGATCGGTGGACGAGGGAGACCGAGGAGGTCGAGGGGGCCGATGAGCGTACCCTCCTCGCCTTGTACCAGGGAGCCCTCCGCAGCTCCCCGTACGCTAGGAGCCTCATCACCGACCCCCCGAGGTCGTACGCCAAGGCGCTCCAGCGCGGAGGCTTGTATGCCGACGCCGATGAGCTCCACAATCACAAGAGAGAGAGGGCCCATCCCCCCAAGAAGACAAATCCTTCGCCGGCCCCGGGTCCGTCCCCGGCCGGCCAGGGTGCCCAGGGCCGCCACGGCTCTGGTGGACAGAGTAAGAAAGACCGCCACTAGCGGCCGAGGTTGGAACGGCCGGGGGTAACCCTCACCCACCCGGTCGGCACCATCCTCGATTATGCCGAGAAGCACGGCCTCATCGAGCAGGCTCCTCGGCCGGCCGAGGAGATCCTTGCCATCCAGCAGGGCGGCACATACTGCCGGTTCCACAAGAACTCGTCGCACAACACCGACGATTGCATCACATTGAAGAAGGCCATCGAGCGCCTTATTCGCCAGGGGGAACTCTCCCAGTTTGTCAAAGATGGCCCACGCAAGAACACTTGGGTAAACACCGGCAAACATGGGGGCGAACCCTCTGCGAAGAAGCGGGAGATTGGTAGACTCAGCGACGACGAGGACTTCGAAGAGCCTCCGCCGAAGAAGAATCACATCCACCTCATCGTAGGTGGAAACACTGGGGGGGGACTCCGCCACTCAGAGAAAGAAATGGGCCCAATCCCTTTACATTGGGGAGGTGTCCCACGTCCCCCCCAGCCGAAGAAGCAGCGAACGGAGGCGATCACCTTCACCGACAAGGATCTGCCTCCGGGTACGGAATCACACAGGGACGCCCTCGTCATCCGATGTGAGATCGGTGACTCCATCATCCACCGTACTTACATCGATACGGGGAGCTCCGTCAACGTGATGTACCTGGCCACCTTCAAACAGCTGAAGCTGGACAGAGCTTTGCTGAAGCCGATCAAGACCCCGTTATCCGGCTTCACCGGGGACTCTATCGACGCCGAGGGCACGATAGTCCTCCCCGTGGAGGTCGGTGACGGCCCCCACCACGCCAGAATTGACATGGAGTTCATGGTGGTCAACCTCCAGTGCGCCCACAACCTGATTTTGGGGCGGCCAGCACTGGAGGACTTGGAGGCCATCATCTCCATGAAGCACCTATGTTTGAAGTTCCCCACCAATGACGGCATCGGCTACGCCAGAGGAAATCAGAGGATAGCCAGAGCTTGCTACCTCAAGCTAACCAGGCCAGCCGAAAGGGAAGGACAGAGGATAGACACCATTACGGCCGCCGTCGCCATGGACGAGGAGAGGCCACATGCGGAGCCGGCCGAGGAGGTCGAGGAAATCCCTCTGGATACCTCCCGGCCGGAGCGGGTTCTCAGGGTCGGAAAGCAACTCCCCCAGGACCAACGAGACGCCATCCTCCTCGTCCTACGGTCATACGCCGTTGTCTTCGCGTGGGGCCCGGACGATATGCCAGGCATCAGCCGCCAGGTGATCACTCACCGGCTGACCGTCGATCCGGCCTCCGCGCCTGTCAAACAGAAGCGGCGCTACTTGTCCGCCGACCGGCGGGACTTCGTCAAAGGGGAGGTCGCCATGCTCCTCTCAATCAAGCACATCAAAGAGGTGAAGTACCCGACATGGTTGGCCAACGTCGTCCTCGCACAAAAACCGCCGACGTTCAGAATGTGTGTTGACTACACTGACCTGAACAAGGTGCCCCATGGACCCGTTCCCTCTCCCCAACATTGATCAGCTGGTGGACGAGACGGCGGGGTGCGAGTTGATGTCGTTCCTCGATG